CTCCGTGGCATCCCAACAATTACTCCATTCACACACAGAAGAAGGCAATGGCAAACCACTTCTGGATCATCTGCCAAGAACGTATATCAACAGGTCCCAGTCCGAGAAAAGGATGGAAGGATCCCGTTCAAATGGACCTGTCGTCAGACAGAACACTAAATAAATAATAAATAAATAAATAAACATTACCTTACATTACCTTACATTACATTACATTCAGCTACCACAGACCCATCTTAAGCGTAACTAATTCAAGTTAAATAAGCAATGTCTTAAAAAAAATTATCTCAATTGTAAAGCATGTATAAAGGAAATATTTAGAGTAAAGCCAATATATAAACTTCCTTTCCGTATAGACGTATTTACGTCAAATTCTCCGGAACCGTGGTTCCACCGACAACTTTTTGTTTTAGATTGGGTTCTGCAGAAAATGTTCCTAGTGACCTGCGTATTTAACAAACAGAACTAGATGGCTGTCTTCTGGGTTGTCACGCCGTGATATGTGAGATAGAAGTTTACCAGTTGTTCATAGGTTTTTACTGCCTCCTTCATCAGGGCGATGATGGTACTTGTCAGACTATAAACTTTTATATTGGACTACACTGTGTAATAACCCGGAAGATTTCGCCGTCGTGAGAAACTCAAGGCTGAAAAACGTTCTGGCTGTGTTTTTATTAGTTACCACGATTATAATCATCAATTGTTAACTGTAACAAGAAAATCGGATTGCCTCGCGTGTCCCTCAACTAACAGTGACGTAATATGCAGACGCTTGAGGCTTCCGTCACACAGTCGGCTCCACACGACTGTCTGATCGTGCCTCGTGCTGTTTGACTTGAATTACTAAGTGTTCTGCCTTAGTAACTTGTTAAATATGCGAACTGCCGTTTACCTTCGCATTAACACATTGGCGTCTCGCACTGGGCATTTTATCACATCGATCGCGAAAGAAAGTTTTACGGGCTGTTGAAAATCCCCCTCCCCGGCCATTGTTTGATGACTCATCAGGTATATTTTTGGACCTGTAAAACACAAGTATTGTTTGTGTGATTCATTGTCAGGTTTTTTCGACATGTTACAAAATACGGGGTTTAGATGACGTCAGCTGAGATGAAAGACTATATCGAATGTTGAATGGGTATGGAATACAAAGGAGATTGCTGTCACCTGGTTTCAGGGTATGATGTTGGACAATATTAACACGTGGAAGTCTTTTCAGCCTCAGGATGTGTTCTTGTAAAGGTCTGTTTTGTAATTCTGAATTAAATTTTAAGTGGCTATTTTATAAAACATGGCAAAACACCAGATAAAAATCGACCATAAGTAATCCAGTTTGCTTGCGGGGAAGGTTGTGGCAGCAGGAGACTTGAATGCCAGCGATGTAAATTGAACCTGGCATCGAAAGGTAACTTGCAGTCACTTAGCTCAGTAATGACAACATTTTTCAAAGAAAATTGTCGAGTAAAATAAAAACTTGATTTTAATATGGGAGTACAGTATTAAAAGGGTGGGTTGATAGGATGTGAAATGAACTGAACAGGGCAGTGACGATGATTACCTTCCGTATAAGTAAAATCAGTTGTTTAAATCTAAAAATATGTAGTTATCGACATCACACGTGCGGACACTTTTAACAGCGGTTTATTCATTGACTAACTGAGGAATTATCGTCTTTTGTTTCATGGATTTGGTTGTTTTGTACTATTTTTGTTTTTAGGACAGTAATTTTACCGGTGCTTATAAGAGCCCGCCCTTGAAATGGAGTTTGAGATGTGGATCAGTGACGATACAGTATCTTTCCTCCTATTTGAAACAATTAAATTTGATAGAGTGCTTTGCTGTCGCGTCCGGTTCTATGATAGGTAATTCGTGATGTGTGCTGTCTATTTTTAGAGCGTCGGTTTTTTATATTGCGCTGTGGTGATGTCATGGCAATATTCTTATCTGGACGTTCATATGCTTATGTTATACCCCCTCCACAGCCCTCAGTGACATAATCTTGGCTTGAATTGTATTATACGCCCACAGCATGCCATCAACACTGTTGGTGTTGCTGGACAGTAGCTGTACATCTTATACTTGCTTTGCTGCAAGGCTTACTAAGATGATAAAGTTGCGTCATATTGTGATAAATATATATTTGTTTAAATCTTGTCAGTCAAATCACAATAAAATTCCTATTAAATATTAAAATATTACTATAATTAACATTTAAATATTTAAAATATATTAAAATTATGTTCTCTATCGAAATGTTCGATTTACATTTAGAACATCATATTGATATATTTTAAATATTTAAATGTTAATTATAGTAATATTTTAATATTTAATAGGAATTTTATTGTGATTAGACTGACAAGATTTAAACAAATTAAACAAAGGTTTACTAAGTTTATGAATTCGCAAGTTCCACTGTCACTTGTTTCATTCTGATTGACAGTTGATTCTGAAAGTCCATTAGATTTATAAAGATTTGATAGTAGATGTCTTCTGGGTTGTAGCGCAGTGTGGTCTCTTAGAAGTTTACCGACGTTTCAGAGGTTCTTGATGATTCAATTACATTCGATGGGTGATAGGTAAGGATAAAATCTACATGGAGTAGAGACATTCTTGATAAGCTGATAGTTGTGGACCGGGTTTATCAGGCTCAGGCAGTAGATTACCTCTGAAACGTCGATCGATGTCTACCAGATTAGGGTCTGTTTATATAGGAACGTAAAGATAACGACACGAGGCCTTGCCGATTTTTCAGAAAATATTATTCAACGTTTTTTTAATGGAACTGTTTATATCGACTCCGAGCTCGTCCGTTCCACGAACGAGTCTCGCCCAACTTACGTCTCCAACGATATTTTTCCTAAACAGTTCCATTGAAAAACGTTGAATAATATTTTCTGAAAAATCGGCAAAGGCTCATGTCGTTATCTTTACGTTCCTATATAAATAGACCCTATATTGACTCCGAGCTCGTCCGTTCCACGAACGAGTCTCGCTCAACTTACGTCTCCAACGATATTTTCCCTAAACAGTTCCATTGAAAAACGTTGAACAATATTTTCTGAAAAATCGGCAAGGGCTCGTGTCGTTATCTTTACGTTCCTATATAAATAGACCCTTATGCGGCGAAACATTCCGGAACCTGTAGTCTCACGGATAATGTTTTCCTAAACCAGTAGAGCGTGTCTTAAGACTTACGAAGCAATGCATGAAGTTAATTGTTTTTCTTTATTGCAAGTATGTACTAAATTGTCCACGGATCATAAGAGAATACGCAGCTGTGCTAGGATACGAACCAGATAACTCCCAGTTGTAATCTCTATATCCGCTCACATCTTCGATTTTCGGTAGGGCAAAGTTTTGTGTTTGCCACCACGTCGAGACCGGCTCTGGGGCCAGTGTCCTTTCAAATCGGTACCAGGAGACCAAGGAATTTTATTTTCCCATGGCGGGATATTTCAGTACATACCTTTTCAAAGTATCGTCCCATTTTACGCTCTGTGGTCTGTTCTTAAACGTAGGTTTGTAAAAAAAAAAACTGGATGTAAACACCCATAAGCAATTTTCTGAACGAGCGTGATGCACGGACTGCGTGGTTTTTCAAATATACCCATCGAAACAGATGACAGAAAAGAGGCGAATCGATCCGTTCCCACCTTGAGGCTGAAAAGCGGTTTGTCTGTTTCAGGAAATTAAGACTGACGTACCCCTTCCAACAGGGCGTGTGGACGCTTTAATGGTATCCATGTCAGTGAATCAGACGAGGATGAGTTGTAGTCTGGGACGAAACTAACTCCATGGGTTCTAAAACCATTTCAGTGGACAGTCAGATGGGGAAACATTTGCTTATTTGGCGATGTTTGGAAGTTGACATAAGAAAGAGATTTAACAGACTGAGGTGACAAGTGGTCTGTGATGTTGTCATCGACTTGTTTGCTTGTCGTAACATAGAGCTTCGTTGACCGTTACAAGTGTACTTGGCACAAAATATCTGCGAGCCTGATCGGTATCACAGTATTGAGAGCAGGGGAGTGGTAGGGGGGGGACACGCTTTTGATTCCATGGCTGGATGACCAGCCGAAGTTAAGAATGCGTGGATATGTAACTCCACTCCCCCGTGTGCATTTTCATAACTCATTTCGTAATTGAGCAAAGGGACCACTTCACCCCAGAATCATTGAGCAGAAGTTATTTTGAATTTTTTAGAAACGTGATGGACATTGTCTACAATTAAGCGACTTGCCCAGACTTCCAGAATCTGCCCTCTCAGGTATTTAGTATTGTTCAACTTAAGGTAACCAGAAGAGAAATTTCTGCATTTGAAGGCGTGTTAGCAGTTGAGAACGACAAATTATTATTTTGTTTGTTATTTCAGAAGCAAATCTTGAAATCGTAATATGTGAATCCAAACAAAGCGATGACGTATTTGTTATTTCTAAAAGTGTTTTGTGTCGGTGTCTGCATCGCTCGTGTTTGATACACACCACAGACTCTGCTCTAAATTGCAGTAACATGATCAAAACCAGCACATCTTCTGTTCCACAGTTTATTATCTGATGTCCTTAATGGTTTGTAGCCTACATAAAATGATAATTTTAGCGCATAATAGATTTTCGTATTAAATT